CCCTGAGATTCACTCCAACATCACATCCCTTCACAGCTCTGCAGCGTCTCTGCTGATTATTGGAGAATAAAAATGAAAATCAAGATTTTAACTTTTATCTACTGTCACATTTTCAGACCTAATCAGAAACTAGAACCAAACAGCATCACTGCTCGACAGAGTACAACGTTTTTTCCACACAGTTAAAGTTCATTGTTTCTGTGTTTTACAGTTGTCTACATCATTTTCCATGAGCTTTATTTGTTGAAATCATTCTTAAAATAGCTCATTAACACAGCAGAGAAATCCTCTAAAGAGTTAGTAATGCTCAGCAGGTCAGTCTATATATGGTCTGCGGTTTGTCCTTAGGGTTTAACTTTATATTCCCTCACGGTGCTGTATTCCTGGTAATGACATATTTGAACTAAAACTGTGGGTAATTAGTGTTTATAGAACAGAATGTGTTGATTATTTACGTCAGTTCCATTTAATAGGAATGAATCAAAACTGTGGTCACCCCATGTCATGGACGGTCCCAGAGCTCACCCTTATAAAATCAACTTGGAGGCAGAACAACAGGTTTGTAAATATGTCTAAGAATCTATATATTCATATATATATTTATATATTCCAGTACCTAGTTGTGCTTGACTCCTCCATCTCGCTCCACCTCGTCTCAGGAGTGTAAACCTATCGGTGTGGCTCACAACCGCCGAGCCCAGCCGTTCGTGGCAGCTGCCAACCTTGACGACACGCGTCAGGTGGTCAGTACAGCCTACAACACTCCTATAGGACTTTACTCCTCGGACAACATTCAGGACGCCATGGAAGGTCAGATCAGAGGCTTTGTCCACCCCAAGCCTGAGAGGTGACTGACCCTTCAGTCTGTCTGAACATCAGTGGCATCTAAAGCCAAAACAGAAAAAAAAACAAATTTCTTCAGGATTATCATCCTGTTCTTTATACATAAAGACAGCATATATGTATATATATATATAACTATTAGTATACTGTGTCGTGTGTGCTCAGTCCCAGGACTCTGACCAAAATCGAGGAATCTGACGTGTACCGGATGTTGCAGAAGGACCAGGAGGAGGAGCCAAACCAGCCTCGACAGTCGGGTTCCTTCAAGGCCCTGCAGGAGTTTATTGACAGTGATGGTGAGTTTTTCTCTTCTTTTTTTTTACCCAACACCATAAATTACATACATAAAAGTTCTTCATTTGTTGTGTGGTTATTTTGCAATTGCTATTTCCTGATTTCCTCTCTGATTTGTATTTAACAGAATGCATATTGAAATTTCAATTCTTTCATTTTCACCAACAACTGTCCTCCACTTTTTACATATAATAATAATACAAATTTAAATTTAAATCGCGTCTGATTCATTCTCACCTGGTAAATGGGATTTATTCTGATTGTATTGTCTTTGAATTGTACCGTGTACCGTTTATTCACTTGCTAGGGAGAATGTTGTTGTTTATTGTCTTTTAATTTTACCTTTTACTTGCTGTTTTCGTGCTGCCCTCAGCTCACTGTAGGTTCTCATTCACTTGCTAGGGAGAATGTTGTTGTAATTTTCAACTAAACCCCTAGATGTCACTACAGCTACAGTGATGCTAATGCTAACGAGCGACAACATTAATTTAGATATTTTAAATGCGTTTGTTTTTATTCGTTCGTCGTATGAAGATAAATTAAAGTCATATTTATTAAGATTAATGTGTTTTGTATATGATTACTAAAAAAAAGAGACTTTTTAGCTGATGTTTCGTCATTTTTGAGGAAACAATGATACCGGACCGATAGCAGACAGATAACAATCACATTATAAATCGGACATATGTTGAATTTATTGCTGTACGTCACGTATTTTTTTTAAACTCCTAATCTGTGTCACGTTTAAAGTGGAAAAATCCATCATCCACTTAATGCCTCTTACCCCGGAGAGTGGCCACGAGTGTCTCTGCCCCCGGTCTCTGAAGTGTTTTATTTCCACTGCTCTCCACTAATCACATGCACAGTAATTTCACCCGGTGTTGTCGCTCACTCTCCGACAGGGACGCGTCCAATTGTGACAAGATCCGTGAAAGCCCCCACCACCAAACAGACCCCACCCACAGGAAACCTGCAGAAGCTGCCCGTCTGTGACAAGTGCGGGAATGGGATTGTGTGAGTAAAAAAAAAAAATATAAAAATTAATATAAAAATATAAAAAAAATATTTTGAGGCTTCGTAAATTAACACAAACAATTTTATCCGATTTCAATTTTTTTTTTAATTTGTCATTTTTTTATTTGAATTTAGCTCAATGTGTTTAGATAAAAAAAATGGATACACGCGATATTAGTATTTTTAAATATTTTCTTCTAAAACAAAAATTAGTCTTGCAATGTCTTCTGTCTTCTGCCTGGGTCTTTCAACATGTCCCCCCTTCCTGATCTGATTTTCAGAGGGACAGTGGTCAAGGCTCGTGACAAATATCGTCACCCCGGTTGCTTCGTGTGCTCCGACTGTGACGTCAACCTCAAGCAGAAGGGCTACTTCTTTGTGGAGGGGCAGCTCTACTGTGAGACCCACGCACGCGTCAGGATGAGACCACCTGAGGGACACGACCTCGTCACAACCTATCGGGCCGCATAAATTCACCTTTGACTCACACGGACACTAGCACTTAGCACAGAGACGCACGTCAGTAACACTTTACCTACATCTAACAGATCAGTTGTCTGTGTCGTCCGTCTGTTCAGCGCAGGAATATTCCACAGCTGATAAATAAACAGTCTGGACAGAAAATGGATGACTTTTTTTTTTATATATACAGTCTCCCAGAATCTGACATATTTTCAATAAAGGTCCTCTGTTGATTATATCAAATCGAACACATGTTGTTTCATTGTATGTCTGTGTACAGCACATGTGTCAAACTCAAGGCCCGGGGCCCACATGTGGCCCGCCAAGTCATATTGTATGGCCCGCGGGAGCTCAAAAATAATAAAGTCCATGCAGCAGAGTGTC